CTGAGTCAGTGAGTCTAACTGCTGATTCAGTGAGTCTAACCGCTGATTTCAGCAGGTGGAATTGTGGAGTCAGTGAGTCTAACAGCTGATTCAGTGAGTCTAACCGCTGATTTCAGCAGGTGGAATTGTGGAGTCAGTGAGTCTAACTGCTGATTCAGTGAGTCTAACTGCTGATTCAGTGAGTCTAACCGCTGATTTCAGCAGGTGGAATTGCTTACTGTGCTTTCAGCGCTGCCTCTCCTTTCTCCGTCTGTGGTGCTGCAGGACTCTCAGCACTTTCTGCACTCTGGTCCACAGCAGCCTCCATCCTGATTCAGTCAGAACAGAACCAATCAATAAGACATACGTGATCATGTAGTTGCGGGAGCAAAACCTTAAGTCTCACATCTCCAATACAGAAACTTTACAGGAGAAGAAGAAACATTTTAGGAGATAATGGACACGAAAACAGTGAAAAACCACACAAGGGTTTGTTCGAACAGTGACGATATTCACTGCCTGGCTAGTTTACGTCCACCTACTTCAATCCTACACTCTCTGTCCAGTTTACAGCTCCACTAGATTGGAGACTGCAGGCCATCAGTCACGGCTCAGTTGATCAGCTTTACCAAGTTCAGTAAGCGTTTTAATATTTCTGAGTGAAGTGACACTGATAACTACAGCTCCATCACACTGAACCTGTGACGGGGTGGAGTATTTCAGAGTATACGACCCCCTGTCATCACGATCAGACCTATTAACAGGTTAACAGTTCACTATAGGACTTCTCTGAGAAGAAAGATCCTACATTTTCATCAACAACGGAGAAAACACCAAGTTATCATACCGCACATACATACATACACATATATATGTGCTGTGATGTGAAAAACAGGCCTGTCCTTCCTTTCTGTGTCAGTGGATTGCAGTGCAGTGAAGGATGAGTGTGAATCCCGTCCAGACTCGCGCGCAGCGATGTGGGACCCTGCACTGTTGATCTGATACTAAACCCAGAAAGAGTGCAGCCTTTCCAGCCACTGTCACTGAAAACCTCCGCAGAGACAGCGCAGAGACAGCGACAGCGCAGAGACAGCGCAGACAGCGCAGCGACAGCTCAGCAACAGCTCAGTGACAGCAACAGCTCAGAGACAGCGCAGACAGCGCAGAGACAGCTCAGAGACAGCGCAGACAGCGCAGAGACAGCAACAGCTCAGAGACAGCGCAGACAGCGCAGAGACAGCGACAGCTCAGAGACAGCGCAGAGACAGCGACAGCTCAGAGGCAGCGCAGAGACAGCGACAGCTCAGAGGCAGCGCAGAGGCAGCAACAGCTCAGAGACAGCGCAGAGACAGCAACAGCTCAGAGGCAACGCAGAGGCAGCAACAGCTCAGAGACAGCGCAGAGACAGCGCAGAGACAGCGACAGCGCAGAGACAGCAACAGCTCAGAGACAGCGCAGAGGCAGCGACAGCTCAGAGACAGCGCAGAGACAGCAACAGCTCAGAGACAGCGCAGAGACAGCGACAGCTCAGAGGCAGCGCAGAGGCAGCAACAGCTCAGAGACAGCGCAGAGACAGCGCCAGCTCAGAGACAGCGCAGAGACAGCAACAGCTCAGAGACAGCGCAGACAGCGACAGCTCAGAGGCAGCAACAGCTCAGAGACAGCGCAGACAGCGCAGAGACAGCGACAGTTCAGAGGCAGCGCAGAGACAGCGCAGCGACAGCGCAGAGACAGCTCAGAGACAGAGACAGCTCAGCGACAGCGCAGAGACAGCAACAGCTCAGAGACAGCGCAGAGACAGCTCAGACAGCAACAGCTCAGAGACAGCGCAGAGACAGCTCAGAGACAGCGACAGCTCAGAGACAGCGCAGAGACAGCGCAGAGACAGCAACAGCTCAGAGACAGCGCAGACAGCTCAGAGACAGCAACAGCTCAGAGACAGCAACAGCTCAGAGACAGCTCAGAGACAGCAACAGCTCAGAGACAGCGCAGAGACAGCAACAGCTCAGAGACAGCGCAGAGGCAGCAACAGCTCAGAGACAGCTCAGAGACAGCAACAGCTCAGAGACAGCAACAGCTCAGAGACAGCGCAGAGGCAGCAACAGCTCAGAGACAGCTCAGAGACAGCGCAGAGACAGCTCAGAGACAGCGACAGCTCAGAGACAGCGACAGCTCAGAGACAGCGACAGCTCAGAGACAGCTCAGCGACAGCTCAGAGACAGCAACAGCTCAGAGACAGCAACAGCTCAGAGACAGCAACAGCTCAGAGACAGCGCAGAGACAGCTCAGAGACAGCTCAGAGACAGCAACAGCTCAGCGACAGCTCAGAGACAGCAACAGCTCAGAGACAGCAACAGCTCAGAGACAGCAACAGCTCAGAGACAGCGCAGAGACAGCTCAGAGACAGCAACAGCTCAGAGACAGCGCAGAGACAGCTCAGAGACAGCGACAGCTCAGAGACAGCGCAGAGACAGCGACAGCTCAGAGACAGCGCAGACAGCTCAGAGACAGCAACAGCTCAGAGACAGCAACAGCTCAGAGACAGCAACAGCTCAGAGACAGCGCAGAGACAGCGACAGCTCAGAGACAGCGCAGACAGCTCAGAGACAGCAACAGCTCAGAGACAGCTCAGAGACAGCAACAGCTCAGAGACAGCTCAGAGACAGCTCAGAGACAGCAACAGCTCAGAGACAGCTCAGAGACAGCTCAGAGACAGCAACAGCTCAGAGACAGCTCAGAGACAGCAACAGCTCAGAGACAGCGCAGACAGCTCAGAGACAGCAACAGCTCAGAGACAGCTCAGAGACAGCTCAGAGACAGCAACAGCTCAGAGACAGCTCAGAGACAGCTCAGAGACAGCAACAGCTCAGAGACAGCTCAGAGACAGCAACAGCTCAGAGACAGCTCAGAGACAGCAGCTCAGAGACAGCTCAGAGACAGCAACAGCTCAGAGACAGCTCAGAGACAGCTCAGAGACAGCAACAGCTCAGAGACAGCTCAGAGACAGCAACAGCTCAGAGACAGCTCAGAGACAGCAACAGCTCAGAGACAGCGCAGAGACAGCTCAGAGACAGCGACAGCTCAGAGACAGCGCAGAGACAGCAACAGCTCAGAGACAGCGCAGAGATGAACGACCGCACGGTGAGCTGACCGCCCTGTTCGCGACCAGTGACGTAAGGACGGTCATTCTGACACTGACCCACTGACCCAGGCAGTCAGCTCTGCGACCCGAGCTGGGGGTTTGATCCAGTCAGAGGCTCTAGGCGGTAGAGCTCGGGATAGAGCACGGAGCGTTCAGAGAAACAGTCAGGATGACCAGAGACGCACAGAGAGGAAGAGGAGTGACCGGTCTCACCTGAGGAGTGACCGGTCTCACCTGGGGAGCGAACAGTCTCACCTCTGACTCTGTTTCCTCCGTTAAGTCCACACACACGCGTGACTCTCCGCCTGCGCTACGCCGAAATGTGTCCGTGTGCAGAGCGCTGCCGCCGCGCTTTAGTTCCCAGCCTTTCGTGTCACCCCTGGCTCTTTAAAACGATTAAACAGTTTATTTTACAGAAAATCTCACTACAAAGCGGCTAAAACGTAGAGTCTGTACCTCCTCAGAGGAGGAGAGTCTGTATCTCCTCACAGGAGGAGAGTCTGTATCTCCTCAGAGGAGGAATGTAACAGTGAAAACCCCAGACTGCTCCGTACTGTGACCAGCACGGTGGCTAGTGTGTTAGCGTGGGGCTAACACACCACCTCGTGTTCACAGCATCAGACTGAGACACTATAAAGCAGCTTTAGTGTCTGCTGTAGTTTTATAAAGTTAAATACTCCGATAAACCGAAAATGGAAACACTCACATATCACCATCAGCGTCATACGGAGCCCTGAGGCCACAGGGCGAGTTTAATGAGGCACGGCTACAAATTAGTGTCGAGACCACAGCTTTCTCATAACGTGTGGCCTCAATTTATGAATTTGTGGCCTAAGTATAGTAAACTGTGGCCTCATTATAGTAAATTGTGGTCTCAATATAGTCAATTATGGCATCAATATAGTAATTTGTTGCCTCAATATAATAATTTGTGGCCTCAGTATAGTAAATTGTAACCACAATATAATAAATTGTGTCCTCAATATAGTAAATTGTGGTCTCAATATAAACATTGTGGCTTCAATATAGTAACTTGTTGCCTCAATATAATAAATTGTGACCTCAATATAATAAATTGTGGCCTCATTATAGTAAATTGTGACCACAATGTAGTAAATTTGTGGCTTCAATATAGTAATTTGTGGCCTCATTATAGTAAATTGTGGTCTCAATATAGTCAATTATGGCATAAATATAGTAACTTGTTGCCTCAATATAATAAATTGTGACCTCAATATAATAAATGGTGGCTTCAATATAGTAATTTGTGGCCTCATTATAGTAAATTGTGGCCTTAATATAATAATAATTGTTCTCAATGTAAAAATGTGGCCTCAGTAAAGTAATTAGTGGCCTGAATACAGTAATTTGTGGCCACGCCTTAATGTAAATAGTCACTGTGTCAGCACATTTTCAGCACTCTTTGTTTCGGATGGAGACTCCACCACAGCACAGTCTGACTCTGGACTGAGGGAATGTAGACACCCCTAATTCATAGTGTGACATAGTGAAAGCAGCGCTGAAAGCAGCTCCACATGCAGCTCAGAGCTCGTTTTCAGTTCAGATCTGCAGTCAAAACCAGTGAAGAACAAACTCTTTCAAAATGTGCACTCATAAGTATTTGGACAGCTGAATAGACCACCATTTACTGACAGGGAGTGAGAAAACAATACATTACTACACACCATACATTTAGTGCATTTTACATGCCACAGAACAGTCATGTGCAAAAGTTTGGGCTCCCCCGGTCAAATGAAAACACCTAAGTAAACACACCCTCCACAGAGAACACACTTAAATATGGCATTTTTGTGCACAGTTTCTATTGCTGAATATATATAAACTGTATATATATATTTTTTGCCATTGTTCCAAAGACTCATAAGACTGCATATGCAAATGAGCCCCCTAACCAATCACAGTGTTTGTTTACTGAGTGCTGTGAGCCTCCTGACCAATCACAGCTCCACACGAGTTTCTCTGGCTGTTCTGACGAACCACATTCTTCACCATAAGGACATAATTTTGGTCTGAACCCTGTGGGTGTCCAAAGTCCGGCCCCAGGGCCAAATGCGGCCCTTGGACAGATGTTAATCGGCCCCTGTCTTCTGTTTCAGAGTGTGTTATTAGTTGCCCTCCAGCCAGTTCACTGCAGTTTCTCCTCTCACCTGATGGGGGCAGCAGTGCTGTGAGATTACAGTGTAACGCTGCACTGCGGTAACGAAGTAGCTAAAGTTTAAGAGCCTTTCTTCTCTGACTGACCTGCAGCTTCATTTACTGACCACATTTAGTCCAGACTGAGCCGTAAAGCTCAGACTAACACTGAGAGACACAAGTTTAGATGGAAATTTGAACTTTTTAATCAAGAGACGCAGAAAACGAGCCTCATATTTCAAAACTGTAATTAATTTAATACCAACAGACCTGAAAAACAGCAGAACATCACAGTAAATATTCAGGAGAGACACTAAAGCAGCTGCAGCTCCGAGTCTCACAGCACCGACTTCATATCAGAGCAGATTCAGCAGAGCAGGACATATTAACCCTTTAAGGAGGAACAATATCATCATAACCAGCCGTTATGATCAAGAACATCATTTAACGAGACCCAAAATTTATAGATTCTCACAAATTATATTTCTGAACAAGTGAGCACTTGAATAGGAATTGAATTAATAAATTAAACGTTTTATTGTTACTCTTAAACAATTTAATTCGATGTTATGATCCAAATTGCTCTTAATGATCAATCCAACAGTAAAAGAAACCTCCTGCATCTTTTACACAGTGATAGGAAACACAGCAGCTCACAGAAAGCTCAGAAGTGCTGATATTGTGAAAACCTAGGCCTAATATCTTGAATTATTCGTAAATAAATAATATTTTGGCTCTCAGGTATTCTGACACGGTACAATCTGGTCCTCTTCAATAAAGTTTAGACACCCGTGCCGTTGTAAGGCATGTCACAATCGCAAAATATGTATCAGCGTGATGATGATAACAGTGTTTTATCCATAATGCGAAGCTCTCAGTGTCTAAACTCTCGTAGTTTCTCCATTTTAGCATCAAAGCGTTTCTTGCTCATGTCCAGGATGGCTATTCCGTTGGCGTCAAAGTTGTAGCCCAAACTGTTCAGATCATCCAGACGCTGCTTCAACGTGACTGAGCTGAAATCCAGCACTTTCGGCTTCTCCACGATCTGCCTGACGTCAATGCCACCTTCGACCAGGCAGTCCAGCTTCTCGTTTAGCCTCTCAGGTGAGACGAACAGCACCTGAGCGTAATTCAGCACCAGCTTCTTCATCTCCGCCTTGCGGCAGCCCAGAGATCTCAGCTTCACCCACAGATTCTTGAAGTTCCTCTTCAGGCTGGTGTGGGAAAGGTCCAGGATGTCTGCTCCATGACTCTGAAACAGGCTCAGAGCTTCAGTGTCGCTGAGCTTCAGCGAGGTTAGCAGAAACTCGATGTTAGCCTTGACGCGCTTGGTGCTGCGGATCAGGATGTAAACGTTCCTGGAGATGATGGCTCTAGCGAAGGCCTCGTGGTCTTTCCCACCTAGACTCACACAAATGCTCTGCAGAAGCTCCACCATGGTCCGGTTCAGCTCTAGGCTGTTGGAGAACACTCGAGGAGCCTTCGTTAGCAGCTTCGGAAGGTCCCGGTGCATGATTCCCAGTGAGTTCAGGAACAGGATGTTCTTCTCCAGGTTCTCGTTGTCGCTGGAGCGGAAGAAGGACTCTGGAGAGCGGTCCAAGATCCTCACGATCTCAGCGTCATCCTGGAAGATGCTGCGCCAGAGCTGCCAGCGCTCCTCCAGGTGCTCACCTGACCGCGTTATGGCTCTCGGGAACCTCGAGATGATGCTGGCGATGACCTCTCGGCTGGCCCCTTTGCTGCTGAGGAACTCAGCCAGGCCACGCTCGTTCGTCAGGACTTTACGTAGGACGCCGGGCTGTCGCTGCCGGGCCTTTTTCAGATCCACACCCAGGATGGTGAGGTTCTCCAGCAGAGAGATGTTCTCCGAGCCATTGAGGGGCGCTGTGGCAGTTCGGGTGGCACTGAAGAACCTGGAGAAGATAATTATTCGTTATTAATTCAGGTAAAATTAGCACTTAGCATTGCTCTTTAATCTGGCTAACAAAAATGAATAACGGCGCTGAATGCGCTGATTACGACACTTTGAAACAACAAACACAGAAAAACTCAAACAGTAAATGTTAAATACATTCATAAGAAGCTCTAAAAAAGATCAATCACACCTGCACACATATGCTAAATAACTCCACATAAAACCCTTAAACAGTAGATCTCAGCTGTAAAATTAACCAGTAAATGAACAATTACATGGTAAACTTTAACCATAAATGTTCAATATCTCCATAAACAGCTTTAATATGGTAAATAATGAATAGCTCTAGATATCTCAGCTGTAGGTGATTAATAACTCTAGATATTTCAGCTGTAGGTGATGAATAACTAGATATCTCAGCTGTGGGTGATGAATAACTCTAGATAGTTCAGCTGTAGGTGATGAATAACTAGATATCTCAGCTGTGGGTGATGAATAACTCTAGATAGTTCAGCTGTAGGTGATGAATAACTAGATATCTCAGCTGTAGGTGATGAATAACTCTAGATAGTTCAGCTGTAGGTGATGAATAACTCTAGATATCTCAGCTGTAGGTGATGAATAACTCTAGATATCTCAGCTGTAGGTGATGAATAACTCTAGATATCTCAGCTGTAGGTGATGAATAACTCTAGACAGTTCATCTGTAGGTGATGAATAACTCTAGATATCTCAGCTGTGGGTGATGAATAACTCTAGATATCTCAGCTGTAGGTGATGAATAACTCTAGACAGTTCATCTGTAGGTGATGAATAACTCTAGATATCTCAGCTGTAGGTGATGAATAACTCTAGATATCTCAGCTGTGGGTGATGAATAACTCTAGATATCTCAGCTGTAGGTGATTAATAACTCTAGATATCTCAGCTGTGGGTGATTAATAACTCTAGATATCTCAGCTGTGGGTGATTAATAACTCTAGATATCTCAGCTGTAGGTGATGAATAGCTCTAGATAGTTCATCTGTAGGTGATGAATAACTCTAGATATTTCAGCTGTAGGTGATGAATAACTAGATATCTCAGCTGTGGGTGATGAATAACTCTAGATAGTTCAGCTGTAGGTGATGAATAACTAGATATCTCAGCTGTGGGTGATGAATAACTCTAGATAGTTCAGCTGTAGGTGATGAATAACTAGATATCTCAGCTGTAGGTGATGAATAACTCTAGATAGTTCAGCTGTAGGTGATGAATAACTCTAGATATCTCAGCTGTAGGTGATGAATAACTCTAGATATCTCAGCTGTAGGTGATGAATAACTCTAGACAGTTCATCTGTAGGTGATGAATAACTCTAGATATCTCAGCTGTGGGTGATGAATAACTCTAGATATCTCAGCTGTAGGTGATGAATAACTCTAGACAGTTCATCTGTAGGTGATGAATAACTCTAGATATCTCAGCTGTAGGTGATGAATAACTCTAGATATCTCAGCTGTAGGTGATGAATAACTCTAGATATCTCAGCTGTGGGTGATTAATAACTCTAAATATCTCAGCTGTAGGTGATGAATAACTCTGGACAGTTCATCTGTAGGTGATGAATAACTCTAGATATCTCAGCTGTAGGTGATTAATAACTCTAGATATTTCATCTGTAGGTGATGAATAACTCTAGATATCTCAGCTGTAGGTGATGAATAACTCTAGATATCTCAGCTGTAGGTGATGAATAACTCTAGATAGTTCAGCTGTAGGTGATGAATAACTCTAGATATCTCAGCTGTGGGTGATGAATAACTCTAGATATCTCAGCTGTGGGTGATGAATAACTCTAGATATCTCAGCTGTGGGTGATGAATAACTCTAGATATCTCAGCTGTGGGTGATGAATAACTCTAGATATCTCAGTTTACAGTGTTAAACATGTCCAGATGAAGCTGCTGCTGACCTGTGCAGTGTGGAGATGGTGATGGAGATGGGGGCTGCAGTGATGAAGATGGGGGCTGCTGTGAGGGGGCTGGGCTGCAGGAACGCTCTGTGGTGGATCCTCAGCAGAGACGTGATCTGCTGTAAGGCCATTCTTCATTCTTCACGTCTGAAATAGATAAGACACATCAGACAAGGCTGAGCAGAGCTTCATCAGACAGATGTTTCAGAACTTACATGATAATCAGACACATAAGATACGATCATCTCTAATAAAAGACACCTGGAACATCTTAGCAGGCATCCGGTCAGTAAGCAGAGGTGTCCACTAGACCAGGGCTGGACTCTTAAATATGAGATAATGACTTAATAAATTTTTAATGTATTTGTTTTAAATCACTTTGAGCTGCATTTTAATGTATGAAATGTGCTGCACTAATAACGCTAATTATCAGCAGTGATATCAGAAATACAACAACGCAGATGTGCGAATACTGTATGAAAGGTGAAACTGCGTTATAATGTTGATTATTATTAGTATTGATATCAAAATGATACTAACTCAGATAATCAGAGGTGTGTATATTGTTCGAGTGCTGAGATGGACTGTAGACGACGTCCGTAACTCTGTGAAGGTGGAATAATCACACATTTCAGTGATGTTTACAGCACAGAGCAGAAATCAGAGCAGATATTCAAATTAATGTCCAGCAGCACCGACACAGTGAATAAACCGTATTAATCACACTTTAAACAGTGAATCATAAAGATATTTCACAGTAAACACATAAACAGGTCTGAGGTCTGAACTCGGATATACAAGTCATCACATATAGAGTATAAAAGTAAGAATAAAATATGCTTAATTATGGTTTAAAGGTGAGCAATACAGAGAATAATCGATAAACAGGTAAACAGAGGTTATTATTAGTAATTGAGCATGTAAACTGAGATTATCAATAATAACTGATCAGGTAAACAGATTATTGATAATAACTGATCAGGTAAACAGAGGTTATCAATAATAATTGAGCAGGTAAACAGAGGTTATCAATAATAATTGAGCAGGTAAACAGATTATTAATAATTGTGCAGGTAAACAGAGGTTATTGATAATAAATAAACAGAAGTCATTAATGATAAATAAGTAAACAGAGGTTATTGATTATCAATAAACAGAAGTCGTTAATGATAAATAAGTAAACAGAGGTTATTGATTATCAATAAACAGAAGTCATTAATGATAAATAAGTAAACAGAGGTGTGAATCTGATCAATAACAGCAGTAATCATTAAACTGATCAGATCTGCGGTGATGATCGAGTTAGGTCTTTAATCATGTCTCTGATCAATACAGCAGAACTGATCATTAAAATGTGTTTTAATGTAAATATTATTAATATTATCTCGTTCCTCACCACATCCTTATATACAGCAACACAGGATCTTCCTTCTTCAGCGCCTCACTGCTGAACACAGAGGATAACAGCGCCCCCTGCAGGAGCGGAGATCATTACAGTCCTGTCCGCCAGGGGGCGGTATAATACCTAAACTCATACCAATCACGGTGCACAGTTAATAATACTGATTCTCACCGCACTGTTAATAGTTTTATCAGACATCAACACGTTTTAATGATTTTAAGCAGTCAGATACAGTTTTGGTCTGTAAGTAGTGGAGCTGTGCACCGATTAACTACTGTACTTTTTACAATACTAAACACTACATACAGTACACCACTAACAACACTAATGCAGTAGTAGTAGTACAGTTATAACAACAGTAACAACAACAACAAAAACAACAACAACAACAACAACAATAATAATAATAATAATAATAATAATAATATTGTACTAATTTATAAAAATAAATGAATCTTTCTGCATTTCTATCCATCTACCTACCTGTCTATCTATCTATCTATCTATCTATCTATCTATCTATCTATCTATCTGTCTGTTTGTCTATTAGTCTGTATACATATCAGTCTGTATATCTATCAGACTATATGTCTGTATATCTATCAGTCTATATATCAGTCTATATATATCTCTGTATATCTATCAGACTATATATCTGTCTGTATCAGTGTGTATATTGGTGTTTATATCTATCAGTCTGTAAATCAGTCCGCATATCTATCAGACTCCATATCAGTCTTTATATCCGTCTGTATATCAGTGTGTTTATCTATCAGGCTATATATCAGTCTGTGTATCAGTTTATATATCTATCAGACTTAATGTCAATCTGTTAGTCTATCAGTCTGTTTATCTATCAGGCTACATATCAGTCTGTGTATCAGTTTACATGTCTATTGACTATATATCAGTCTGTTTATCTATCTGACTATATATCAGACTGTATATTAGTCTGTTTATCTATCAGACTATATATATATACGTAAGTCTGTAAGTCAGTCTATATATCTAACAGTCTGTATATCAGTCTGTAAATCTATCAGTGTGCATATCAGTGTGTGTATGTATCAGTCTGTATATCAGTCAGTATATCTAACAGTCTGTATATCAGTCTGTAAATCTATCAGTGTGCATATCAGTCTGTATATGTATCAGTCTGTATATCAGTCAGTATATCTAACAGTCTGTATATCAGTCTGTAAATCTATCAGTGTGCATATCAGTCTGTATATGTATCAGTCTGAATATCAGTCAGTATATCTAACAGTCTGTATGCCACTATGTGTATGT